TTTTTTTTTTTTTTTTTTTTGTTAAACATGGTTAATTTTTAAAAAGATGATAAGTTTAGTTGTTAGTGGGATTTGAGTTTATATTAAAATGACATTTAAAATAAAACAGTTAAAGTTGTTTTGATGTAAAAACAAGAAATAGATAATGTGATGTGATAAGTTATGTTGTTACCCAATTTTAGCCTCGCCTATTAAAATATTACACGTGGATATATATATTAAATAAACATAAAATAACAGAGTCTTTTATCTATATTGACCGATTTCCCAGAAGTCAAGACGGTCCACATCCAAAGCCAATCAGAATTCAATGACGTCAGCTCGACCCAGATGTCACAAAGAAGTCGCCTCGACAGATGCAATAATTGTCGACAGATAGAATAATTGCTGACAAGACAAATGTCAGTCAAAGGGCCTGTGAAAGCCATTATTTATATAAATTATAATTATTAGGCCCTGCGCGGTCATATTTATTACTGGGCCCTGCGCGGTCATATTTGATTAATTACATGTATTGTGAAAGCCCATTAGATATACAGGCCCATATTAGCCCAAATATAAAACCAATATAAATGTGAGCTATAGGATAAGAATGGCAGACTTTTCTCTTTTTCCCCCTTATCAGTAATAGAGGCACCGCCTCAAGACTTCATTGACAACCTTCAACAAAAAAGTTCTTTCAATTCAATTCCTTTTAGTTTTCTTTCATTAATTCACAACAAACACATAGAAATTCGACGAGATATACGATTCTCCGAATACCCCATGTTGTTACAATTTCGCATAACAACAAGTTAAAATTATGTTAATAGATGAATAGTGAATTAAATTTAATGTGACTTGCAAAAATGGTGAGTTGATATTATTTAACTATATTTATAATATTGTAAATAATGGAGTGAATTAAATTTTAAGTATGAATTGAATTATTTTTATATACGAACACCGATTTTGCAATGGAACCATTTATTGTTATTCACAAATGTATGTATGCGTTTTCTACATTAAATACACATTGAACACATGTCGACCATAAAATTATGAATGACTCAATAACTTCGATGACTCCATAGAATTATGGATACAAAGTACGGACACATCTTATCAATGACATGTTAAAGTTGTTGGTTTCTTATTGGGTGGTTGGTTTACGCGTAATTATATTTGTTGTTTGAGAGTCTGAAAAATAAATATATGTATCAAGAATTAGCAAATAAGGAATAAACACCTCAACACACACCTCTGTAGTACACAGATGGAGATGGTACTCATGTAAAACAAATGTCATCGTCTGTAATAGGTAATCACCTCCGCCATAAAAACTACTGTTAGCAGGCGGAGCCTCCCGCCTCCGCCGAAGCCGCCGCCTCCGCCGAAGCCGCCGCCTCCGCCGTGTGAAGATCCTTCAAGCGGGCTTGGGTTTTTGCAACATATAACCCTTAAGTGTAGAGAGTGAAGAAAAGGAAAAGAAAATGGAATATGTCCAAAAGGTGGTGGAGCTTTAGCGCACTCCATTGTACAGCTGCTTTCAAATCTCAGTGCGCTATTTCGCTTTCTACTTTACGAAAAAACAAATCCCCCAACCCCACCTGTGAAATCCCTCCAAGTTTTCTACTGTTCAATTCGAATTTTTTTATTGCTGTTGTGAGAATTGGCTACTTTTCTTGTCCCCTTAATGCCCGAAAGGATTCATTAACTATTAAAAAAATCGGATTTGTTCCTTGTGATGGTTAAAAGGTTTGGATTGCAAACTGTTGTTATTAGTTCTCTTTGCAATATGCTCGAGTGCATGCGCCTTCTGTTGTGAGCAGTAAAAATGGTGGTGGTGAGGAAGGTAGGGAAGTATGAGGTGGGGAGGACGATTGGGGAAGGGACGTTTGCGAAGGTGAAGTTCGCGCAAAATACGGAGACGGGGGAGAGTGTCGCCATGAAAGTCCTCGATCGATCCACCATTATTAAGCACAAGATGGTCGACCAGGTTGGTTTCTGTTTTCTGAGCTTGAACATTGATTGTGGAAAATATGTGTGTGATTTGAATTTTATATGAGAAATATGTGTTTATATGAGCGTATGTTTTTAGTGATTTTGTTTTATTAGTGCAGGCTACTATTTTTGGCTGGATTTTTTAAGGTGGGGAAGATGGGTTTGATTTGAGTTGATGTAAATGAACTTTTGTTCTGAGTTTTTCCCACCTCAATAAACAATATGTTTCTCTCATGTTATTTCTTGTAGTGATGTGAGATGATGGTTGAAAACACAAGAATATTCATTTAGAGGTTTTATGTTATTCTATGTCAAATTTTGATCAATAGTATCTGAGATTATATTGCAATAAATTAGCGTGATCCAAATCAGCTGTTTGAAGACGGGCTTTTTGTCGAACGACTTCGGTTAAAAAATGGTAACTATATCTCTGGTAAAAACCATGTTAGAGATACTTTTACACTGATTAATTCGTCGCATTTTTATCTTGCAGATAAAGAGGGAAATATCCATTATGAAACGTGTTAGACATCCATATATTGTCCGTTTGCATGAGGTGAGGATCCGAATCAAGAGTCTATGCTTTGTGTGTTTTGCTAATGATATCTGATCTTGATTTTTTTTTTTATTTTTCATGTGTCAATTGCCTGAAAATATTTGCCGTTAGGTTATCGCAAGCCGCACAAAGATCTACATCATATTGGAATTCATCACAGGTGGTGAATTGTTTGATAAAATTGTGAGTATCATTTCATTGCTAAGATTACTTGCTCTTTCGTGACAGGATTTTGTGAATGATCAGAAGCCTTATATTGTTAGATATGATTAATAAATGTCTTGGCAGGTTCACCATGGCCGACTTAGTGAATCTGAGTCGAGAAGATACTTTCAGCAGCTTATTGATGGTGTTGATTATTGCCACAGTAAGGGAGTCTATCACAGAGATTTAAAGGTGTTCCTTTTTGGCTTTTTTGTTTGTTTGTCTTTTTAAATTCATACAGTGTATTTGTTTCCGATTAATAAAAAATCCTACTCTTGAGGTTTTCCCTTCTTGGAGAAAAATAATTCCAGTTTCCCTATAGACCTTACTTTCTATATTTCTATTTTATATGTTGCATCTTCTTCTTTTCCTGTTTTTCGCCCTCAACTGAGATAAATCTCAGGTGTGCTTTATGTAACTATCTCATAGTTATTTCTGAGCTGTATGTTTTAATGTCTTACTTTCGTGCAGCCTGAAAATCTATTGCTTGATTCCCAAGGAAATCTTAAAATCTCTGATTTTGGGCTTAGTGCATTTCCTGGAGAAGTAAGATCATGTTGAAAAATTGTCAATTAGTCCATCATATAAACGGTGTGTCCATGATTTTTTTCCCCTTGGCTTTCACTAATTTGATTCGCATAGGGAATCAGCATTCTGCGAACAACTTGCGGTACTCCCAATTATGTAGCACCAGAGGTAACTTATGGAGACTAATACTCATGCTAAGATGGCAGGATATCAGTTTAGTTTTACATGGTTTCTAAATTTCAGGTTCTTAGTCATAAAGGCTATAATGGTGCTTTGGCGGATATTTGGTCATGTGGGGTCATCCTTTATGTTCTGATGGCTGGTTATCTCCCTTTTGATGAGATTGATCTGACAACACTATATGGAAGGGTACTCAGCTTTAATCTTTCTATAGATGCTCGTACCACCATTATAGGTTAGTTTTGTTTGGTGGGTGCATAAGAGATTGTATTTCCATGGAAACAAATTGCATCTTGGTTTTGAGATCCCAAAAAGTAACATTAAGTTTGGAGAATCTGTTTTAGAAATAATGCATCTATGCTCTGTACTAATTTGACATCTTGTGCAGATTGAGAGTGCAGAATTTTCATGTCCATCTTGGTTCTCAGTTGGAGCGAAATCATTGATCCATAGAATATTAGACCCGAATCCTGTAACAGTTACGTATTTGTTCTTAGATACAGATAGCAGAGGTTCATTCTACCTGTCATCTTTATGGTTGCATATATGAAATGCTTTATCAATGTTTTTATCATTCACATGCTATGCATGCATTTTATTTTTATTATTGCTTATTGTGACACTTGTAATCCACAGTGTGTTCAGTAATGAAACTTAATGACATATTATAAAGCTTCAAATTGTGTCTCAGTAGAAGTTGATGTTTCAGAATATTAACGAGGGCCACATTGAACAAAAAATGGGTGTTTCATGTTTGATAGTCATCTGGAATCTGCCCTATTTTTGGAAGAAAAAAAAAGAAAGAAAACAAGAGAAGTACAATTTAGCTGTCGTGGCTACAATTAAAATGCTTATTCGCTATTGAATGCTCGTGCTGAATATGACAATGTTTATGGTTTTCGTCATGAGTTGTTTACTTAACTCCTAGAGAAAATTTTGTGCAGCGCATTAGGATTGAAGATATCAGAAATGATGAGTGGTTCAGAAAGAATTATAATCCCATTAGACTTCCTGAAACTGAAGATGTTGATTTGGATGATGTTAATGCAGCTTTTGATGATCCAGAGGTCAGTCAGACTGTAATTGTTTTTCTGGACTTCAGATTTTATTGAGAAATGCCATAAGAAAGTTCTTTCTTACACTTCTGTTTAAAGGACTACATGCAGGACTTGTTTGTGAATACCTTGCTCATCAAAGTCACTAACTTCAAAAGTTCATAATCTAATAATTGGCCAAATCTTTTAATGAACCACACTTTTTTTTTTCTAATCACTTTAGGATGTCAATGGGCAGCTATCATTTCTCATCTTCGAGTTCAAGGGTGCGATTGGATTGAGGAAATATCGACATAGTTTTTGCTATATTACGATTTAATGAATCAGACGGACAATATATGTTTACATCAAGAAACTTCAAATGCAACCTATACATGCTTGAATGTGATTTCACAGTAACATTTGTAAGGGTAGGGTTTTGAGTATTAACGATGGTCCAACACTCTAGCAATAGTTCTAGTAGTTATGTTGCTTACATTGCATTGATAAACTTGGGTTGTTTAATTCATGATCTTCTCGGCCATGGGAACTTTTTCCTAATTGTATCTAATGCTGAGCCCAATGTCATCGTGGAAGCTTTACTAGCTTTCATTCCCCCCCTTTTGCACTGATTTTTCTGCTTTTACTATTGACAAACCCGTTGATTTGGGTTAAGCTATTAATGGATCATTAGTATATAGTATTCGTATATGGTGCAGTTTTCCCATAAAAAATGGTCATTGCACTTGATGCCGCTCTTGTTCATGGGGGGAAGAAAAGTCTACCAAAAAAAAAAAAAAATAATAAATAAATAAATAAATAAATTGCATAGAACAATATTTTTCAAGGTTGATTAGTTCACTTGTTCTGAAGTAAAGGAAAGGTCTTTATGTAGATGTCCGTTTTACTTAGTTTTGCAGGAAACATCCTTTTGAAGCGAGAGTAGTTAGATTCTCTTTTATATATCCAGTTATTTACTTGCACAAAGACAGAGTACAAAAAAATGGCCTGAGGTTCTAGCAAAAGATATCTTTTCTAGTTATAGTTTCAAAAGCACATTACACATGTTGCTCCTTCACTTTTATTTATTTATTTATTTATTTATTTTTATGTATATTTAGAAGTTTGTTTTTCCTGGATATAAAGTTATTCTTTTCTTTGTTACCTGGCATCATTTTTATCTCTTCATAGCTTTATGTACATTGTTATTTTGTAGGAAGAATTCCTTAATCCGCAGTGTGGGAATGAAGATATGGGGCCTCTCGTTCTCAATGCATTCGATTTGATTATTCTCTCTCAGGGCTTGAATCTTTCGGCACTGTTTGATCGCAGGAAGGTGAAAATGACTACATATGTTTATGCTTCCTTATATATAAATGTGGAGTTTCCTACTCGTAAGTGTCAGATTTTGTTGCTTTGTGTTCCTATATGTCAATATATAATGCTTGAAAGTAGGTTATGATATCCATACTGGTAAGAACTTTCAAAATAAACTGTAGGTTAGGGCTTTTCATGTTTTGAAATACTTGGCTAATATAAAAATAAACTATTTTTTTATTGCTATCCGATCATGTATTACTAAATATTTAATTAAACTCTGAAATTGGTTCCAAAGTCAAAAGCCTCCTTTATTCAATTCCCTTTTTTCCTTTAGACATCTGTTTTTAAGTTAAACTAAGCTCGAAACCTTTTAGTTCACAATTGAATGGTTTCATTGAAAAAAAATAAACATAGTTTTTTCATTGATGTTTTTCGAGGATGATATTCTTGTGATTAGAGATAGATTTATCATTTCGCACTATGGGCTGTTCAATGTCTTTCGTCTCATGATAAGAAATCGTTGGAAGATAAATTATGCTTGCTCCGAAGTTGATTGGGGGCCTATTCAATCAAATTCTCTTCCCAACAACTCATTATATCACGTCTCTAGTGCCATTGATTAAGACATCTTTTAATACTAAGTCCTTAGAATTCTGAGTAGTATTGATATCTGATATATATAATAAATATGTTGTCGAAATCTTTGTTGCAAGCCTGTAAATGTTTATTAGTTATCGCTTGTTGCAGGATTCACTAAAACATCAAACACGGTTTGTTTCACAAAGATCAGCAAAGGTTGTCCTGTCAAGTATGGAAGTTGTTGCACAATCAATGGGTTTCAAGACGCATATTCGTAATTATAAGGTGAAAGTAGTTGAAGTTTTGAAATTTTGTTTGTGTTATCTGGGATGGTGTTAAATAATAATAATGATAATACCATTAATCTTTTGAAAGAGAAGAAGAAATGAAGACGAATAATAAATGAGATGATTCTGGGAAATTAATCTCGGGTGTTTCGGTTATTTACAACAACCACCAGCCAACTTACAAAATTAGTAAATTACATCAAGTTTTTACCTGCCTCAAACTGTTAGTTGAAAAACAAAATCCTTTAATGCCTGTTATATTTATTCTTTGTCTTGAATGAATTTCTGGTCCTGAATTTATTTATATAAGTTGCTGTTTGTGTAGATGAGAGTTGAAGGCCTTTCTGCGGATAGGACTTCACATTTTTCTGTAATTATGGAGGTACATTTTCACTCGCCGACTGCATCTTTTTCTTTCTTACATTTTTGGCACAATCCGTAGAAATCAGAATACTTTTGTGAACAGATCTTTCAAGTTGCTCCCACTTTTATCATGGTTGATATTCAGAAAGCAGCTGGAGATGCTGAGGATTATCTCAAGGTATTTGTTTTTATCTCAATCTCCATCACCTCTATGTTTCGTCTAATTGCAATGGTAGTTGAAAATTAATAAACAAAAACCGGTTCTCTCTAAGAACTACAACACGCCCAGTTTTTATTATGAAATTAATACCTATGAGGTATCTGTAGGCAAGAAGGATAAAAATGAAAGGAAATCCAATTATCTCTAAAAATTAGCCTCCAAGCACAAATACATTCATGTTTTGAATACAGATAACAAGAGTAGAGCTTGGATTTTTCAAAAGTAGCTGGGTTTCTTTTTTCGTCATTGGACTAGATCTCCCGAGGGGGTTTTGTATGAATAGCTATTCCTTTTTCTTTGCCCCCGCCATATACTGATACTCTTATTTTGCAGTTCTACAAGAACTTTTGTAGTAATCTCGATGATATTATCTGGAAGCCACCGGACGATAGCTGCAAAGCACGATTCACGAAGACAAAGAGCAAGCGGAGATAATCTCATTCACACAACACTTACTTTTCTGTTCAGTGCAAATCCTTTTTTCCATGGGGGACCACCTTCTGTGTTGGCACCGGGCGATTGATTAGCTTTATGAATCTTCTAGTTGATTAACTGTACTCTCCTAGAATGCTTGTATGCAGCTACTGACTGTAAGAGCTTAAGATTAGATGGACATTAGGCGCTCTTCCTTTTGTATGGTTGTGGTTATATTTTTTTTTTCATTCGTGTGAGCTTGTGTCTTTTGTGATGAGTGGTATCTTGCATATTCAGGGGTGTAAAGTTCTTTTGCATTCTGAAATGTAATTAGATTTATGATATAGAACTAATAGCTCGGTGAATATGTATGAGTGTTAGTTCGTGGTTGGCCTGTTCCAGAGAGCTTCAACTCGATGTCCGGGCTTGGTTGTGTCAGGGAGCTCGATGTAGTAGCTAAGGTATGAGTCGACCTGAATAATGGAGCTCGGATGGATGAGGGGATATTACGACTTGAAGGTTGTACAAGTGAAGGTCGTGCCTTCGACCTAGTAATGGTATGAGGTAGATGGGTCATAAGGTAGCTACGACGATCTAAAGACCAGAAAGCCGTGGTAAGGAAAGAAATAGAATCCTAGTGAGGATTCAAATATATCTCGCTAAGGTTCGTGAACATATATTTATATTTTACAACGTACTGATAATGTAATATTTCTGTTCGATACATCGAACCACATTATCTACAATGTACAATAATAGAACTATGTTTGCATAAATAAATAAACTACGAAACTAACTTGACTAAAAACACACACCTCATTTTGTTTGGAGTAATTACAAAGTCGAGCTTCTACAGTATACTCCAACAAGTTCTCCTCTAGAGCGCCTAACAAAGAGGTAAATGAAGCAATGACGGTCTATGAAAGACTCATCAAACTCTAGGGAAACACAAGTAAAAAGTTGTGGAAAAGAAAAAAGCCCCTAAAGATGATTGAATTGTCCTTCAAACCAACTCCGATTTCCTTCAAAACGGGCGTCGGGATGTGTCACGGCGTAAAGCCTTTAATGCTCAAATCAGAATCTTAGAATATCTCTGGTATATGTAATTTATAGTTCTGATTTTGTTTGTTTAGGGATTTCATACATATTATTCCTCTATTTTATATGGGTTAATTTGTTAACTTATAGCCATATTTGTTCGAGATCCTCAGCCTCGACTCCTGCTACCTGCCCCCAGTTCGCACAAGCTGCTGCCGGTCTGAGCGACTTATTTTCTAATCAGAGCGAGCTCCTAAGAGATATTAGGATACACCATATCAGAGCTGAAACATGAAACCTCACACCCAATAAATTGCTCTTTCTTGATGCAATTTTGGTGGTGTTCGGTGTTTGTTATGGTGAAAAAACCTGTGTAAATTTCATGTTCAAAGCATTTCAGCCCACTCAAATTTTTATGGGGGTGGTTCGTAACTTCTAGCCCTGATTTGTTTGTGTCGAACAATTAACCAACTTTTTTCAAGCTTTCACATGCGTTGCACAATGTTCAATTTCGTCTATCTTGTTTCTACATCCGTTTGACCTTTTTCGTTAATTTTCACCACCACTTGAGCAGCCCCTTTTGTGGGTTGGTTCCCTCATCTTGGTAATATATAACTACAAAAATATGATTTTGACCAACGGAAAAATCCGCTGGTAATCAAATTTCCCAACAGAATGTCAATAGATTACCAACAAATTTTATTGTTGCTATATGTCTTGTTGGTAATTATTGCCAACAAAATATACAATTCGTTGGGAAAATTCTCAACAGATTACCAGCAAATTTGCAACAGAATTGCATTGTGAGATTGTCAAGGAATTGTCCAGAAAAAACTAGTTTCTAAATTATTCCGTTGACAAATTATTAACAGAAGCCAACATATTATGTAACACCCAAATTATTATTTGCTATTTATGGAGCTTGACTTTATTTCTGTGAATAGCCAGTTTCCTTACGTGATGCGTTTAATTATTATTATTTGCATTAAATCGAGTAAATTAGTTTAAAGTCTAAGTCATGAAAAATTTATTCGGTTTTAATTACTAAAGTCAGATTTATTTTGCCCAAGTATCAGTTATATTTTTAAAACCGAGACTTGGAATAGTTAGAATTTTATTAAAGCGGACCGAAGCCGAATAATTAATTTATTCGAGCGTAATCATTGTCGAGCGAGCCCAATTATACTAGCCGTCCTATTTTATTTTCGTAAATCGAGCCAATGCTCGATTTTATTTTGATCAATTTTAAAAATCGAGCCTATAGTTGGTTTTCAAATCCGAGCCCAATTATTTTAGTAAAGTCGACCGACTAAATTAATTAAGTCTAAGTCTCGATTTATTATTTTCGAGTATTTGAAAAGTCAGAAATTTATTTAATTTTCGAGTCGAACCATTTTAATTCGGCCCATTAAGTCCGTAGCCGATATTTAATTACTTGGCCATTATATACGAGATCTTTTAATTCGAGCTATCGATTATAATTCCGAGACCAAGTAGTATTTAATGTTAAGACAAGCCCTAGTCAAAGATATTTTGAGCCCAATCTTAAAAGCCCCATTTGAGCCTAACAACAAAAGAAACCCTAGTCTTCTCCCTCCACCTATAAATATCATCATCTCTATCCTCACTTCACCTCCCAACACCTCAAAATTCTAGCCACCTTCAAGAATCTGGCCAGCCACCTCGTTTTCCAGCCATCTCCTCCGGTGAGCTCACCACCGTCGACCAGTCGAGCCGCTGTTAAGCCCTTCACGCCCAAGTTCACAGCCGAGTTCGCGAGGCTCCGCCCCACAAGCTCAGTCCGCGCGCCGGCAATCTCGTTTTGCGACGAGTTTCCATCCGTCCGAGCCCGCCTTATCGTCGCAAGCTCAGCCACGCCCTTTCCACGCTGGTTCGCTGCACCACAGCTTGAGCCATGCCTGGTTCGTCGCTGCACCTCAGTCCCGCGACCTCACTTGCCGCGACTCGTCGGAAAATCACGAGCCCAACCCTTTCCTTCACCTCCAGAGCTCAGCCTCACCAAAAAATGAAGACCCCAGCCTCAGTTCGTACGCGAGCCCTTCCCAGCAACGAGTCGTGCATCGAGTCAGTCGAGTTCAGCCGCGTTTAGCCCCAGTTCACGTTGTCCCACTTCGGGTCGCGTCTCATGAGCCGCGGAAAGACCGAGTTCGGCCATTCCCGTCCCAGTCACCCGAGTCCCGACCGTTTCTTTCCCAGTCGACTCAGACCTAACTCGCCCAACTCGAAACCCACTTAGCAGCGACCGGATCGACGGTCCTCCAGCAGCCCCGATCCATTTTCAAGCACCAACCTGATTTTCACTAGCCCAAACTATTTTTCGATCTCTGATTTGAGCCCGATTTTAGGTAAAATGGCTTGAACCCGAATCCAGTGGATTAGTTGTGATTAATGAATAATTACAAAATCAAGAAATTGATGTTTTCAGCAATTTTTGAATTATTGGGATTTTTCGAGCTTGAAGCTGATAATTTTGATTTTATTGCCGAAAAGTGATAAAATGACGAATTGAATTTATAAGATTCTTTGCATTGTCTTGAGGCTTAGGACGCGAGTCGAGAAATATTTGAAGTTTGTTTGATAGACGAACAGAATTTTTGATATAATTGACCGGTTGATCATGTTTTTAGTTGAACGAGCTGTAGGTGGATTTTTGACTTGATATTTGGACCATAGATCATGTATATGATGATGATGCTATGTTTTGAATTTCGTAATTTTCGGACACCATTTGACATAGATTAAAAATCAATATTTTAGCCGATAAAATGCGAAATTAGTCCGGTTATGGATTTTAGTTGAACTGTTGATTATAAATTCATTATAAATCACGTAGAAATTAGTGTTTAAATATCGGATTAAAATGAGTAAGGATTTTCGAGAATTAGAAATTATAGTTTTATCCAGTTTCGATAACCGGGTAATTTTCTGATTCGAGTTTAATCGACCGGACCCTAGTATCGTTTAAATTATTTTAGACGACATAGAGTTAACCCTTATAGCGTATCGTCATTACGCACACGTGTTCGACTCTCGTCCGACCGTTGGAGCCGAACCACCG